GAGGATTGCTTGAGCCCAGGAGGTCAACACTGAAGAGAACCATGATGTCATTCAGGCTGCGTGACAGAGTGAGACCCTGTCTCCCAATCAGACACAAACAAACAAATAAAGGATTCTCCAAGAGTACTTGATTGTAAACATTTTTCTCCAAACTCCCAACAGGGCATAAAACAGCTGCGAACAATAATTGCCTTCACAGTTTCTTTTTGCTGTGGTCATATCATAAAATTACAGGAAGGATACTGATTGGAGACACCAAAACCAGTGGGTCTCAGCAGGGCTGCTCACGGAAGAGATAAGCCATGCCCAACTTTGCGTAGGTTTTCCATTCATATTCAGAGTTTTTTAGATCAATCTCAGATACATCTGTCTTCCCATCTGCACCAGTCAGGGTTCTACAGAGGGACAGAACCAATGGAAAAAATACATTTTATGTATTTATATATTTATATGTATTTTTGTATATAATTATATTTTAAATATAATATATTTATGTAATGTATATATTATATATTTATATATAAAAACATTTATATATACTTATTTACATATTAGGTATATTTATAATAATATATACATGACATATACATAATATATTAAATATTGTATGTAATATATATTATAATAATACATATAGTTATGTATTTTATGTATTTATGTGTAAATATATTTATAAATTTTATATATAAATATATTTTTATGTTTAATATTATAAATATAAATAAATGATATTATATAATATATATTATAATAATAGATATGAAAATATATTATATATAATATATAATTATATATTTTATGTATTTATGTGTAATTATATTATATATTTTATGTATTATACTCTTATGTATATAAATATATTTTATGTATTTATATGTAATTATATTTATATATTATATTTTTTGTTTAATATTATAAATAAATGTAAATATAAATAAGACATATTTTATATAAATAATAGTTATAATATATATATATTTTCTATAAATATATATATATACACAAAGGGGAGTTGATTAAGTATGAACTCACACAATCACAAGGTCCCATAATAGTCCATCTGCAGGCTGAGGAGCAAGGACAGCAAGCCCATATCCCAAAACCAAAGAATCTGGAGTCTGATGTCAGAGAGCAGGGAGCCTCCAGCGTGGGAGGAAGATGGAGGCTGAGAGGTGAGGCCAGTCTCCCTTTGCACATTTTCTACCTGCTTATATTCTAGCTGAGCTGGCCGCTAATGAGATGGTGCCCACGCAGACTGATGGTGGTTCTGGCTTTCCCAACTCCCTGACTCAAATGTTCATCTCCTGTGGCAACCCCCTCACAGACACAGCCAGCATCGATATTTTGCGTGGTTCAATCTGATCAAGTTGACACGCACACCATCCTTCACAGCTGCTGCAAAAAACACAACTTGAATCTTCAAGAAGCCTTCTTAATTAAAAAGAAATACCTTTGCCATTCAGAGTTTTACACACAAGGTTCAAGGCCCTTTTCAGAAAGATAGGAGTTTTTAAAGAGGAGTGTAAATTCTCATCTTCTTAGGAAGCATTCAAGGATAGAGTTGCAGCTGTGACTTAGAGAATCCTGCCCGCTTAATTCAAGAAGATTCGCACTTAAGGTCACACACATCTATTTTTTCCCACTTTGTTCTTTGGTGAATATTCAGAATAATGGCAACAGTAATGGCTGTAAGCATCCCGGGCTTGTACTGTGGCAGAAACTTTTAAACACATTCTGCATGTATTAATATGTATTTTATTATTATTATTATCAAGACAGAGTCTCACTCAATTTGTTGCCCAGGCTGGAGTGCACTGGCGTGATCTCAGCTGACTGCAACCTCCACCTCCTGAGTTCAAGTGATTCCTCTGCCTCAGCCTTCCAAGTAGCTGGAACTACAGGCCTGTGCCACCACGTCCAGGTTTGTTTGTTTGTTTGTTTGTATTTTTAGTAGACATGGGTTTCACCATGTTGGCCAGACTGGTCTCCAACCCCTGACCTCAAGTGATCTGCCTGCCTCAGCCTCCCAAAGTGCTGGGATTACAAGAGTCAGCCCCCATGCTTGGTTCATATTCACATATTTCTATGTGAAATGCATGTAGAAATAGTGCGTTGTGGTAGGCATTATACCGGGTGTTCTCATCATTTTTCAGATTGGTTACCTTCAGGAGGCAAAGGTTAAGGAATTGGCTCAGGTTGTGTTAGCAATCAATTATACGCCCAAAGTGGGCTGTAAGTCAAAGCGACCCAATTTTAGATCCAGACTACGTATGCTCTTTGTCCACATTTTCATCCTGGAGGAGCTCTGACCCCTTCTATTGAGAGGGGCTTCTAATCATTCTTTATAAAGACACATGCACACATATGTTTATTGTGGCTCTGTTCAGGATAGCAAAGACTTGGAACCAAGCCAAATGCCCATCAATCATAGACTGGATAAAGAAAATGTGGCACAGAGACACCATGGAATACTATGCAGCCATCAAAAAGAATGAGTTCATGTCCTTTGCAGGGACATGGATGAAGCTGGAAACCAGCATTCTTAGCAAACTGACACAAGAACAGAAAACCAGACACCGCATGCTCTCACTCATGAGTGGGCGTTGAACAATGAGAACACACGGACACAGGGAGGGGAACATCACACACCGGGGCCTGTCTCTCGGCTAGGGGGACAGGGGAGAGCATTAGGAGAAATACCTAATGTAGATGACGGGGTGATGGATGCAGCAAACCACCATGGCACATGCGTACCTGTGTAACAAAGCTGCGTGTTCCGCACGTGTGCCCCAGAACTTAAAGTACAATGATAATAATAAAAAGAGGGGCTTCTCGCCTTCTGTTATACCCGCAGATAAGCAGGAGACAGATGTAGTCTGCATGGCAGTGTTGAAAGTCAGTGCACACCCCGAGTCTGCATGTGTCTTAGGACTGTCTTCAACCTGTCAGGAAGCTCTGCGTTCCTCCCCACCAATGCTTGCACCCCCCACTACCACCAAGCCCGTCACTTTTCTTTTCTTCTTTTTATTTTTGGTGTTGGTGTGTGACCCCAGCTGCACTGCGGTGGTGGGGGCAAAGCTCCCTGCAGCCTTGGCCTCCCAGGCTCAAGTAATCCTCCCACCTTAGCCTCTTGGGTTGACTGGACTACAGGTGCACACCACCACGCCTGGTTAAAGTTTTACATTTTTAGTAGAGATGGGGTCTCACTGTGTTGCCCAGGATGGTCTTCCTCGGCTCAAGGGATCCTCCCTCCTTGGCCTCCCAAAGTGTTGGTATTATACACGTAAGCCACTTTGCTGAGTCCCACACACTTCTTTTCTTTTTTGAGATGGAGTTTTGCTGTTGTTACCCAGGCTCCAGTGCAATGGCGTGATCTCAGCTCACCGCAATCTCCTCCTCCTGGGTTCAGGCAATTCTCCTGCCTCAGCCTCCCGAGTAGCTGGGACTACAGGCACACGCCACCAAGCTCAGCTAATTTTTTGTATTTTTAGTAGAGATGGGGTTTCACCATGTTGACCAGGGTGGTCTCGATCTCTTGACCTTGTGATCCACCAGCCTTGGTCTCCCAAAGTGCTGGGATTACAAGTGTGAGCCACCGCACCCGGTGTCCCACACACTTCTTGACAATCTTCCTATGTTCTCTCGGATGAAAGACAATTATTCTAGGCCATCCGTCACCCCAAGAGTATAAAGGCCCCTTTTCCAGAGGAATGTATGCACCTCACCCAGCCATCTTGGTCTTTCGCCGTGTAGATATGAAAAGTAACCCTTAGCCATGTGTCTGCCACATTTTCCTTCTTGGGGTTAATAATAAAATAAGTGTATTAAGACATGAGTTGACCAGATGTGGTTGCTCACTCCTGTAATCCCAGCACTTTGGGAGGCCGAGGTGGGCAGATTACCTGAGGTCAGGAGCTCGAGACCAGTCTGGCCAACATGCCGAAACCCCATCTCTACTAAAAAATGAAAAAAAAAATACAAAATTACACGGGCGTGGTGGCGCACACCTGTTGTCCCAGCTACTCTGAAGACTGAGACAAGAGAATCACCTGAACCCGGGGGGTGGAGGTTGCAGTGAGCAGAGATCACATCACTGCACTCCAGCCTGGGTGACAGAGTGAGACTCTGACTCAAAAAAACAAAAACAAAAACAAAACCAAAACCATGTTATTTTTTAATCACAAGTGCACTTAAGATTGTACTTATAAAATATGGTTTTTCAGACTTTTTCTCTTAGCCTTTGACCCTGTTCTGGAGCAGGTGGAGGTGCTTGTGTGAATCTTATGGCAGGTTTTTCTGCCTTGTGCTCGGGCTCCCACGTTGAGACCCTGCCCAGGGAAAGCTGAGACCCGCGAGTGTGAAGTGCGGTGCTCCTCTGTGTACAGGGTGAGAATATGTTCTGTGTTCTCAGACATGGAGAAAGCAGACCTCCTTTAGGAAAATGACCTCAGAAGAGCTTGGGTGTTAAAATATCATCATGGGAGCTCTGACACTGCCTTTTTAGTGGTTATTTTAATAGAAGGCATCCCTTCCCACACCTATGGAGACCATACGAGAGGCATCTCATTTTGTAGATGCAGCCAGATGCCACCCGGCTCACACTTTGGGATCCCAGCACTTTGGGAGATTGAGGTGGGCGGATCACCTGAGGTCATGAGTTTGGGACCAGCCTGGCCAACATGGGGAAACCCCATCGCTACTAAAATACAAAAATCAGCCAGGCATGATAGTAGGAGCTTGTCATCCCAGCTGCAGAGGTTGCAGTGAGCTGAGATCGTGCCACTGAACTCCAGCCTGAGGGACAGAGCGAGACTCCATCTCAAAAAAATAAAAAAATGTACCAAGAGCAGACTGTACCAAGCTCAGGTGATAAATGCATTTCCACCCGTACTTCTCTGCAGGGCCCATGAATACTCTGTCTGTCATCCAAATGCTACCAAGCTAACAGTATGCAGGGTTCTGTTTTCACAGTGATGACACAAAGACCCACACCTGTGCTGTGTGGTTTCAAAAAATATTTTATTTTCTGGGATAGCCATAATTTCTCAGCTCTGTCTTTGTGGCCTCTCTGCAGACAGAGGAGGTGGAAGCTACGACAGCCTCGGAGGTGGCACACATCACACCTACAAACACGGAACGATGGGAGCTTCTAGAAAATGCTCACCAGGGTGCATATGGACAGGATGGTGAGTGGGTGACCAGGGCTGCTGTCGGTCCAGGGCATTCAGAGAGACCAGTGTTCGGCCCGCCTTCGTCCTCATCTCTTCACTCTCGTGAGTTAAAGGAAGCAGAAGAAACACAGCGGAGAGTCCTTTGTGGCCACTGGACCGGGCGTTGCGGCTGTCACACGTAATGAGATTTGAGAAGGTGCATTAGGCATCAGGTGGAATCTGATGGTCACAAGTGAGAGATTTGCTTCCAGAAATTTCCGGGACTCTTGTTCTAGGTGCAGAGTCTCTCGTTTGTATTTGGCAATGCTGTTCTTCCAGAACGTGACTTTTCCTTTTCTGCAACAGGCAGGAGAGGAATATTCGGGGTCACTTGGCAACAATAAGGACGAGGAGTCTCTTCCCGGGGGATCTGGTCTGCACTTGAGAGGAAGTGATCTCGCAGGGGACGAAGTCTGTATCAGGTTGATGGCGGGGACAGCATCGGAGAGTTAAGTGCGGAAACCCCCCAGTGGCACCTACTTTAACGATGGCATTCTCTGAAGCTGGTTTGTCCTCTGGTTGGGTCTAGCCAGTAATAAGAGTCAACACTTCTACTGGGGTACCTGTGGGCATGGTGACCCCCGTGAATTCCGACTCTGCACAAGAGGAAGGAGCGTGAAACTTCACAACAGACTGGGCCAGGCAGGTGGGCAGAGCTGGCTGGATGGGACCTCGAGGGTGGATGGAGGTTACAGATGCCAGCATGGCCCCGGAGGTGACACTGCCCATGAGTCCCGGCTGCCTGGTGATGGCTTGGCAGAAGGAGAAGGAGTGATGGGCGGGGGAGATGGCCTTAATCCTGACTGACAGTCCTCCCACCCTTCAACCCCCGCAGGGAAGCTGCGTTGACATGCTGGTGGACAGTCTTCAGAGCAGGGCGGAGCAGTGACCTTCAGAGATCCTCCCTGCACGCTGCAGTCCTAGCCTGTGGGTGCTGGCTTCCCAGGGTGATGTGCCCACAGCTCCCTGGCTGGCACCTGTCATGCATGCAAACACATGACTCCACAGCCGCCAGCGTTCTCCAGCGCCTTAGGGGACCTAAGTAGATACAAAGAAAAGAGGGAAAAAAAGAGGAAGAAAAAAAAATGAATGGCGATCTGATGAAAGATTACACCCCTCCCCCATCCTCTGCTCTCCTTGGAGACAGCGTGTGCCCCTGTTACCCAGGCTGGAGCACAGTGGGGGGACCATACCTGTCATCTTGAACACCTGGGCTTAAGCAATTCTTCTGCTTCAGCCTCCTGAGTTGTTAATGCTACAGGTATGTGCCACTCTAAGCAGATAATTATTTTTATTTTTTGTCTTGTTAAGTTTCCCAGGCTCGTGTTGAACTCCTAGGCTCAAGTGACCCTCCCACCTCAACCTCCCAAAGTGCTGTGCTGACAGATAGGAGTCCCTGAGCCCAACCAGTCCACTCCTTCAATGCTACTGACAAGTCATTTCACCCAGCACATGGGTTCTTAATATCACACTCACATAAAAAGAACCAGGGCCCCTTGAAATAATGGTGAACTCTTAGCATGGAGCTGGATGCTACAGATAAGCCCAGACCATCTTCTCGTACCAGAAACTAAGGAAATTGCATTTTCTGGAATACCCATACATCTAGCTCAAACACAAAAATCTCCAAGACAACAAGACGGGGGTATGTCAAAGAGACACGAGTCCCAACCTGAGGGAGCTTCTGGTGCTCAAAGCTGAAACAGTCTAGGCAATAAAATAAAATATTAGATGGTAACCAAAGCAATGAATCATTGAATAAATACGTAAGTAACGAGGACAGTCAAATCCACCTTGCAGAATAGTTCCAAATAATTTATGTTGATTTTTTTTTTCTTTTTTTTTTTTTTTTTTTGAGACAGACTGTCGCTCTGTCACCCAGGCAGGAGTACAGTGGCATGATCTTGGCTCATTACAACCTCTGCTTCCTGGGTTCAATTGATTCTCCTGGCTTAGCCTCCCGAGTAGCAGGGATTACAGGCACCCACCACCATGCCCAGTTAATTTTTTATATTTTTAATAAGGATGGGGTTTCACCAGGTTAGCCAGGATGGTCTCGATCTCCTTACACCGTGATTCACCTGCCTTGGACTCCCAAGGTACTGGGATTACAGGCGTGAGCCACCGCGCCCGGCCTTGTGTAGTTATTTGATGAAATACAACTCCCCATTTCTTTAACTGTGGGTTGCATGTACAGACTTCCTTTGAAAGCGCATGATGAGGGAGAATAATGACTTCATATCGGAGGAATCTGACAAACACCGCCTCAGCGCTGTGATCATGGCCAACATCCACAGTCATCGGACAGGCTGACGGTCTGTATCTTGATATGATGTAATGGGAATGACTGTTCATCTCTGCAGTCATCCAGCCCAAAACCAACCACCCTAGTCTCACCATGAGAAAAGTTGCAGACAAATCCCAACAGAGGGACAGCTTGGCAAAATACCTGACCCATCCTCCTCAACACCATGCTTCCTGTTTAGTCCACAGGACTGTGGGAAGTAGAAAAGTTCCTTTGTAAAGATTCCTTATGGCCAGGCGTGGCGGCTCACATCTGTAATCTCAGAACTTTGGGAGGCCAATGTGGGTGGATCATGGGGTCAAGAGATTGAGATCATCCTGGCCAACATGGAGAAATGCTGTCTTTACTAAAAATACAAAAATTAGCCGGGCGTGGTGGTGTGTGCCTGTGGTCCCAGCTACTCGGAAGGCTGAGGCAGGAGAATTGCTTAACCCAGGGAGGAGGAGGTTGCGATGAGCTGAGATTGTGTCACTGCACTCCAGCCTGGGTGACTGAGCGAGACTCCATCTGAAACAAAACAAAACTTTAGCTCTTGCATGAACTAATACTGTGAGAACTCACTCATTACCACGAGGGCAGCACCAAGTCACTCATGAGGAATCCATTCCCATGACCAAAATACCTCCCACCAGGCCTCTCCTGCAATGCCGGGGATGCTACTTTAACGGGAGATTTGGAGGGAACAAACACCCAAAGGATGCCGGTTCATCTGAACCAACATGGGCTGTAAGTGTACAATGCACACTGGGTTTGAACAGGTGGTGTGAAAAAAGAATGCACACTATCTCATAACTATATGTGCAATTCTAATATATTCTAAATAACTATATATACAATTCTAAATCTATTCTAAATAACTATATATACATATTAAATCTATTCTAAATAATTATATATACAAATCTAAATCTATTCTAAATAACTACACATACAGTTCTAATACATTGTAAATAACGATATATACAATTCTAAATCAAATCTATTCTAGATATATACAGTTCTAAATCTCTTATATGTACAATGCTAAATCTATTCTAAATAACTATATGTACAATTCCAAAATCTATTCTAAATAACCATATATACAATTCTAATATACTGTAAATAATATATACAATTCTAAATAATTCTAGCTACCTACATATACAATTCTAATATACCGTAAATAACAATATATACAATTGTAAATAATCCTAGCTATACCTATATATACAATTCTAAATATATTTACACACATATCTCAAAAATATAAATTTGAAATAAATTATGTGTATACGCATATAACTATTTTATATGCTTATGAAATGTGCATATTCATTTATGACATTTATAAATATATGTTTATATAGAAATATAGATATATTTTTTCAGATGGAGTTTCACTCTTCTTGCCCAGGCTGGAGAAAGGTGGTGTGATCTTAGCTCCCTGCAACCTCTGTCTCCTGGATTTAAGTGATTCTCCTGCCTCAGTCTCCAGGGTGGGTAACTGAGATTATGGCTAACTTTTTGTATTTTTAGTAGAGATGGGTTTCTTCATCTTGGCCAGGCTGGTCTCGAACTCCTGACCTCAGGTGATCCACTCACCTCAGCCTCCCAAAGTGCTGGGATTATAGGCGTGAGCCACCGTGCCCAGGAAGAAATATATCCTAATAAAGTGTGTACACATTTAACATTAAAAAAATAAAATATAAATTTATATATTTATATAAATATACATTCTGAAATTAGACTTTTTATATAGTGATAAAACAACTATGTTTATACATAAATATAATAAAATTCTTTACAAATTTAATACATTGAAAAATATACATAAGCTATAAATTTGTTTCTGTAAATATAAATATATATGTTGAAATTAGACTATTTGATATAGTGATTAAATATATTTATAGGAAAACATTTTAATAAAATTTGTACATATTTAATTAACTTAAAAATACTGAAACTGTAACTTCATATATTTAAGTAAATATAAAAATATACATACATGGCCGGGCGCAGTGGCTCAAGCCTATAATCCCAGCACTTTGGGAGGCCGAGGCGGGTGGATCACGAGGCCAAGAGATCGAGACCATCCTGGTCAACATGGTGAAACCCCGTCTCTACTAAAAATACAAAAATTAGCTGGGCACAGTGGCGCGTGCCTGTAATCGCAGCTACTCGGGAGGCTGAGGCAGGAGAATTGCTTGAACCCAGAAGGTGGAGGTTGTGGTGAGCCGAGATCACGCCATTTCACTCCAGTCTGGGTAACAACAGGGAAACTCTGTCTCAAAAAAAAAAAAAAAAAAAAAAAAAAAAAAAATATATATATATATATATATGTATATATACACACATACATGTTAAAATGAGACTATTTTATATAGTTATTAAATACACATATTTGCATACAATATATTGTAACAAAATTTGTACAGATTTAATTAATTTAAAAACATACATAAAGTATGCATTTATACATTTATGTAAATATCCATTTATATACAATACCTGTTAAAAGGAGACTTTTATAGTGATTAAATGTATTAAAATTGATTTCACCGTTTTCATTTTACTCCTTTGTTAATGTATTTAACAAAGAGTTTTCAATTGCTTATGTGGATCATATTTTATTTTATTTTATTTTTGAGACAAAGTCTCAGTCTGTCGCCCAGGCTGGAGTGCGATGGCAGGATCTCAGCTCACTGCAGCTTCTGTCTCCTGAGTTCAAGCGATTCTCCTGCCTCAGTCTCCTGAGTAGCTGGGATCACAGGCATGTGCTACCATGCCTGGTTAATTTTTGTATTTTTAGTAGAGATGGGGTTTCACCATGTTGGCCAGGCTGGTCTCAAACTCCTGGCCTCAAGTGATCTACCTGCCTTGGCCGCTTAAGGTGCTGGGATTACAGGTGTGAGCCACTGTGTCTGGCTAATTTTTGTATTTTCAGTAGAGACGGGGGTTTCACCATGTTGGCCAGGCTGGTCTCAAGCTCCTGACCTCAAGTGGCCACTTAAAGTGCTGGGATTACACATTTGAGTCACTGCATCTGGCTTATTTTTGTATTTTTAGTAGAGACGGGGTTTCACCATGTTGGCCAGGCTGGTCTTGAATTCCTGGCCTCAAGTGATCCACCCGCCTTGGCCTCCCAGAGTGATAGGATTATAGGCGTGAGCCACCTTGTCCAGCTCATATTGTATTTCTTTCTTTCTTTTTTTTTTTTAAGATGGAATTTTGCTCTTGTCACCCAGGCTAGAATAGTGCAGTGGTGTGATCTCGGCTCACTGTAACCTCCGCCTCCCGGGTTCAAGCAATGTTCCTGTCTCAGCCTCCCAAGCAGCTAGGATTATAGATGCCAACCACCATGCTGGGCTAATTTTTTTTTAAAAGTATTTTTTAGTAGAGACGGGGTTTCACCATGTTGGCCAGGCTGGTCCTGAACTCATGACCTCAGGTAATCCACCCTCCTTCGCCTCCCAAAGTGCTGCAATTATAGGCATGGAGCCACTGTGCCTGGCCCATATTGTATTTCTAACGGGTAGAATTGTTGTAGACCCTGAAATCCTGGGTCATCCAGGGAAAATGCAGAAACAGGGCTCCGGGTCCATCACTAGAGTGCTGGCTGGGGCTGTAGCCACATGGATGTGTTCCCCAGAAGCCCCATGATGTTCATGGACACTGGGCTGCCACTCCTCCTCGAACCCCATTTGACCCCAGCCCCTCCACCTCAGACAGTGGCAGAACTCTTCATCAA